CAAAGTCAAATACCAGAAAATCAAGATCAGGAACGCACTCTTGGATAACCATAGGCATGAAACCACGACAAGGCAATGAGCAAGAAGAGAGCTGGGTTTGCTGTAACTGGCCTTTGAACCCAAAGGCAATTACCAGGTTTACATGTGCTTGATTGCTGCTCAGCACAAAACCCTCCTGTGGATTTGATTAGCCATGACCGGCCTTTGACCCCAAAAGTAATTACCAGGTTTCCATGAGCATGATTGGTGCTCGGCACAACTTTTCCTGTCAGGACAGTAATGTTGCTTGGCACAACTTTTCCTGTCAGGACAGTAAATGCCATTAACCAAATTTGTATGTGCGGATGAATACGTGACATTACTCCTCACCTGAAGACTGCCCACCGGGCAGGCAGGACCAGGTTTGAGAGGAAACTTGGCGTGAAAAGAACAAATTTTACGGCCAGCATGGCTATCAGAAGCCGAAACCCAAGAAGGGTCAGCAGGCCCATACCCCCTCCAATCAACTAAATACTGTAAGGAACCACGAGACAACCTAGAATCAATGATGGAGGAGACTTCGTACTCCTCCTGTCCAGAAACAACCAAAGGAGGAGGGGGAACAATGGGACTAGTTTACCGATTGCAAACAAGGGGTTTGAGCAAGGACACATGAAAAGTATTAGATATACGTAAGGACGCTGGAAGGGCCAGAGAATAAGATACAGGGTTGATTCTCCTAACCACACGAAAAGAACCAAGGAACCTCGGAGCAAACTTCATGCTGGGAACCTTCAACCTGATGTTGCGTGAGGCTAACCAAACCTGGTAAACTGAATTGGCACTCCGCCGTTTATCCGCATGAAACTTAAAGCGAGCAGCCACAGTTTCAAGAGCGGAGTGAACCTTAGTCCAGGTATCACGAATGGAGGTAAGGTGATCATCCAGAGTAGGGATAGCCGTATCAGAAATCACAGCAGGGAGAACATCAGAATGATGACCCGTATTGACAAAAAACGGACTATGCCCAGATGAGTCATGGTTGCATTATTCCTTGCAAATTCGGCCCAGGGGAATAATTCAGCCCAGTTAGATTGTGTATTATTCACTAAGCAACTTAAATACAGCTCAAGTGATTGGTCAGCCGTACCATTAGTTTGGGGATGGTAAGCAGAGGAAAATGACAATTCAATGCCCAACTGTTTATATTCAATATAACCTCCAGAACCGTGACACAAATTGGGAACCCCTGTCAGACATAATATTTTGAGGAATACCATGCAACCTGACAATATCACATATAAATATGTGCACCAGGTCCCGAGACGATGGCAATTTTTTAAGTGGAGTAAAGTGTGCCATTTTGGAAAAACGGTCAGCTACCATGAGGATGGTAGTATATCCATTGGAACTAGGCAGTTCAGCAATGAAATCCATTGATAAATGAGACCATGGGATACTGGGTATTGGAAGTGGCTGTAACAATCCACACGGAAGTTTATGAGGAACTGTTGTGGTCGTGACCTAAATATGAATATTAATCTCTTAATACATAATAATTAAGCAATACAGAACAACATTAATATTTTTATAATTCATGGTATTATGGTCGAATATGTGGATAGAAAATACACAAAACGTTGTAATATTAAATGTATATTTTATATAACTATAATAAATAAACAGATGCTAGCAGAATGTCAATTTACTACAATAATTATACAATACAATACTACAACATATTACTTACAAAAGGTTGCTAAATGTTACACAAAAGGCTATTACAGTTGCTATATGTTACAATGGATTCATATTACTTACAAGGCCCCAGCCAAATGGCTGGGGCTAGGTCAGAGCTGGTGCTACATGATCAGTCAGGTACAGGCAAACAGAGAGCTAGCTTCTCCTCACATCTGGGTTTTTATTCAGTGTAAGTAGGCTGGCCTGTGATGTCACTGCCAGAAGCACAGGTCTTCCTACACACTCCCCCTAATGGTGCCCCCAAAGCATTATACTAAATATGCTTTACTGACATCTAGTGGTGCGTCTAAAGCATTAAGCTCATTATGCTTTTTTTTTATGACAAAAAGTCATTAATTAATAAATACCATTACAGGAACATTCGAAACTGCACAGACAGGCTTCTACATAATCTTTAATATCCCTCCTGAGTGACACCCACCAAAATGACCTGGAAATGGCAGATACAGTTTTATTAGTACCCGGATGCCCAACGGTCACATTGTTATGGAATACCTTCAGCACCTCTTTCCTGTCAGACAATGGAATAAACAATTTATCTTGAGGTTTGTTGCAAGGTGCCTGGGGCTGAGCCACCATGATAGCACGGAGCAAAGGGGACCATAAAGAAAGGACAGTGGATGCAATAATACACTCAGGAGAAATAATAGGGGATGTCTCTTGTTCTAGATCCGATTCAACGTCAAATTGCCTAGACAAGGCGTCAGGTTTAAAGTTCTTAGAACCGGGTCTGTAGGTGATAATAAAGTTAAAGCGAGAAAAAAATAATGACCATCTAGCTTGTCTAGAAGCCAGTCATTTGGCATCCCCAGTATTTGCCAGGTTCTTGTGGTCAGTAATAATCAGAATGAGATCCTTGGAACCCTCCAAAAGATGTCACCATTCCTTAAGCGCTAGTATGATGGCTAACAATTCTCTATTACCAACGTCATAGTTACGCTCTGCAGGAGACAACTTTCTGGACAAGTAACCACAAGGATGCAAAGGGGCATCCTGACTCTCTCTCTGAGAAAGAACAGCCCCAACCCCTGTCTCGGAGGCTCCAACCTCAAGTAGGAAAGATTTACTAGTGTCAGGATATCTTAATATGTCAGCAGATGTGAACATTTGTTTAAGAAGCTCAAAAGCTTCTTTAGGCCATATAGTACAATTAGCCCCCTTGCGTGTCATATTGGTGATGGGGGCTATTACCAAAGAGAAACCTTTCATGAATCTCCTGTAATAGTTAGAGAAACCAATAAACCTCTGTATAGCTTTTAACCCACTGGGTAATGGCCATTGTAGAACAACCTCTAGTTTGCGAGGATCCATTTGGAAACCATAGGCAGAAATGTTATACCCCAAAAACTGAACCACATGTTGATCAAATACGCATTTCTCATGTTTACAATAAAGACCAATTTTAAGCAAAGTTTGTAAAACTTGTTTGACATGATCATGATGAGTTTGGATGTCGGGGGAATAAATAAGGATATCATCCAGGTATACAAGCACAAAAGAGTAAATATAGTCTCTGAGTACATCATTAATGAAGTCTTGAAATACATTGCATTACATAACCTGAAGGGCATAACAAGATATTCGTAGTGCCCACTCCTAGTGTTAAACGCCATCTTCCATTCATGATTCTCCCTAATTCTCACCAGATTGTACGCACTCCTAAGGTCAAGCTTAGTGAAGATCTTAGCACCCTGGAGTCTATCAAACAATTTGGATATAAGGGGAATGGGATAGGCATTTTTGATAGTAATCTTGTTTAATGCCCTGTAGTCTATGCAAGGTCGTAGTTCTCCATCTTTCTTAGCAACAAAAAAGAACCCTGCACCAGCAGGCAAGGATGATTTACGGCCTTTACGTAAAGATTCCTTGATGTACTCATCCATGATTTTACTTTTTTGTGGTGATATGGCATATACTGCCTCTTTAGGAGGCATAGCCGCAGGCAACAGATCAATGGAACATTCATAAGATCTGTGTGGAGGAAGAGCATTAGTCTGGCTTTTACTAAACGCCTCTCTAACCTCCCAATACTGTATGGGAATTTCGGAAGTCGGAGACGTGGCAGTGGGTAAAGCAACGATGCCCACTTTTTTAGAAATGGGTAACATGCAGCTTTCCTGACAGTCTCTACCCTATTCCAGTATTTCCCCTCTAGTCCAGTCAATATGAGTATTTCCCCTCTAGTCCAGTCAATGCTTGATGAGCCAAGGGAACCCTAATTCGATAGGACAAGAAAGGGAAGCAATTATCTGGAAAGCAAAGTCTTCCTTATGCAAAGCTCCTATCGTAATGCAAATAAAGGGGTCTTCCATCAAAAGCCTCAACCGCTAGAGGTGATGATCTCTCCTTGACTGGTATAGTGTTTTTTTTAACAAAATACAAATCAATAAAGTTACCAGCCGCACCTGAGTCAACCAGTGCTTTGCATGAAAAGTTCACCTCGTTGCAAAAGGCGGAAATGTCAAGGAGAAATCTGCTTCGGGAATTACTAGAGGACGTATCCATTACACCTAAGACCTGTCCCCTTAAGGTTCTTAGATGCAGAAGTTTTCCAGATGTATAGGACAAGCATCTCTCATATGCCCTTTCTTGCCATAATATAAGCACAGACCCTCTCTTCTCCTATAATGTTTTTCTGCCTGAGACAGTCTTGTAACCCCTAACTGCATAGGTTCAAGTTCAGACCGCGTTGAGAGGTCAGGGACAACAGGTTTGGATTTGGATGCCAAACATCTAGACACCTTTTTAATGGCCATGGCTCAAGGTGATTACTCTAGTAACAAAAACTACAGAAAGTGCAAACTCAACATGTGGTAAACACACCAATCCTCAATTCACACATATCAGGACTCAGGATAGCAAAAGCACCCAGAATCCTACAGAAATTAACTCATTATTTGCAGACTATTTTTGCACACTTTGATGATCCCGATGTCTGTAAGCCCTCAGAGAGTCAGGGCTTTCTGGCTCTCTAATGTACAATGGGTCATTCTAAATGATCCAATTTGTGAACTATAAGTTAAGCAAACAATTTCTTCACTCGCCACTGTTAAGACTCCAGATCCAGATGGTTTTAGCTGTGAATATTAAACATCTTAAAAATACCACATTACCCGGAGCTAAAAGAACAGATACGGACTGAAATAGTGGACTACTTTACCACAAACAACACCCCAGATGTCAGTGCAGGGTCAATATGGGCGGCCCATAAACCAGTAATAAGAGGGACCCTCATAAAACTAGCCACTAGGAAGAAGAAGATGAAGCATATCCAACTGGACACCCTGTTGGATCAATTAAGGAATCTTGAACAGAAACATCAAGCAACACCCGACAATGAGACCTATAAGAAACTGGAAGTGGTTCGGAGGAACATCCGCACGCTACTACTGGACGATACCGCTCAATCCATGATCTGGACAAACGAACCTTTTACGAGAAATCCAATAAGATGGACTCACTCCTAGCTCGAACATTGCGACCTAGACAAGAATGATCCCACATCACGGCCATCAAACATCCGGATGGAACGATGAAATCAAGGACAGATGAGATAGCCAAAGTCTTTGAGGACTTTTACAAAAAACTATACAACCACACACCAGACGCACACACTCCGGACGGAAGTGAAGAAGACCATATTAACAGCTACTTAAATGACCTTGGGCTGCCCAAACTTGGGAGAGATGCAGTAAATAGCCTGACAGCTGAAATTACAGAGGAAGAAGTACATAGAGCCATATCTAACTTGAAAGGTAACAAGGCTCCAGGACCGGATGGGTTCGAAGGTACATACTACAAGACCTTCAAAGAAGAGCTTAAACCCCAACTGATGAAACTCTTTGACTACATGAAACAGGGGGGACTCCTCCCTCCAGACATGACCCTAGCTACCATTGTATTGATACCTAAACCTGACAAAGACACGCTCCAACCAGAAAACTACAGGCCCATATCATTGATTAACCAAGATCTAAAAATACTAGCAAAAATACAAGCTGACAGATTGAACCCACTACTAAACTCACTCATACATGCCGACCAAGTAGGCTTTATTCAGGGCAGACGGCTGTTCGAGAATACCAGAAGGAATATCGACCTAATCTGGAAACAAGTCACCTCTGGAATCCCCACCTTAGTGGTCTCTATAGATGCGGAAAAGGCCTTTGATCGGGTGAGATGGCAATTCCTCTTCTCGGTGCTGAACCACCTGGGATTCCCGAAAGAATTTATAACTACTACAAAAGCAATGTAGCATGAAGTGAGAGCACAGATACAGATCACTGGTGCCCAGATGACGCCCTTCCGACTCTATAATGGTACTAGGCAGGGGTGCCCACTTTCCCCACTCCTGTTTGTACTAGCACTCGAGCCTTTGATGCAAGCGATCAGACAACATCCAGATATTGGAGGAGTACGGGTAGGAGAACGGCCTCCCGAGGATTTTATTTTTATTCCAAGCTCTCATTGTCCGCGTCACCAAAGCACAACTGAACCCGCTACAACGGTCGATAGCTGACTTCATCTGGCAGAACAAGAGGCATAGGATATCAAGACAGATTCTCTATAGATGAAAAGAAAGAGGGGGGCTGGGACTCCCAAACCTATACTTCTATTATCTTGCAGCTCAACTAACACAGGTAGCTATGTGGCATTCCCCTCCGGAAGAGCGGAGATGGGTCGAGATAGAATCCATGATGGTGGACTGGGACATCCCCCAGTTCACTATGTGGATCCCGAAAGATTACCGACCCTTGATACGGTTGACTTGCCCGTCCATACTTAATTCGCTCCAAATATGGGACAAAAACAGAACCAAGTATGGACTGGCGACCTCCCCCTCTCCATTGACTCCAATTTTAAGAAACAGGGAGTTCCAGCCTGGTATGGCCCCCAGAGATTTCCGAAACTTGGAGAGTCTACAACGGATCCATCAACTATACCATAATGGGAACTTAATCCAATTTGCAGACCTTCAACAAGATAACCACCTAACTCCCGCAGACTTCTTTAGATATATACAGATCCGGGACTTCGCTAGGAAACCACACATAAAGGCCGCAGCTCAGGGAAATATGACGTTCTACGAGAAACTATGCCTTCACGAAAGGACCCCCAAGGGCATGATAACCCTAATGTACGCCCACCTTAGCACAGAAACCAAGGAATGGGGGCGACTATCTTATACCGACCAATGGGAGAGAGAAGTAGGAGAAGAGCTAGAAGGCATAGAATGGCAAGAAATTTGGGAAGCAAATAAAAACGCCTCCATATGTGTCACGCTACAGGAACAGACGTGGAAGACCATGTTTAGATGGTACACAACCCCCGTAAAACTTTATAAAATGCACAAAATGGATACGGATGATTGCTGGAGGGGATGTGGAGCCCGAGGTACATACCTTCACATGTGGTGGGAATGCCCAAAACTTCTTGGATTTTGGAAGAGACGGAAAACCTACTGAAACAAACATTTAACAAACCCCTGACCAGAGATCCATGGGTATACCTTTTAAACAGGTCTGTAGACGGATGGACCAAGAGAGAGCAGAAACTAGTCCATAAAATAACCCTAAGCGCAAGAAGAACAATTGCGACTGGGTGGCTTTCACCAGACGCACCTGAGTTTCCAGGAGTGGTATCCAGGATCCGTGAATGTAGGATTATGGACGACTTAACAGCAAGAGTGAAGGGATCGACAGAAACATTTCTAAAACTCTGGGAACCGTGGGATAATAGCGTAGTTGGCTCTAGAGAGGACAGATAGGATCGACCTACACTAAAGCCAAACCAGTAGCGGAGTCCTCCTCCGACCGGAGGATCCATTCGACACACTTGGCATAGGGAGTTCTGGCTGGGACTGCTGTCCCCGTCTACCCTTCCCCCCACCCCCATTCGGATGTCATCCCCTGACATTCTTTCCTCGCCGCCTCCGGGTCACCGCATTCACCACATAATGTTTCTTTACCTCATACTACTTTCTCAGTCTCCCTTTTTCTAATTCCTTAACTTTTCTCTTCCCGCACCTTTACGGGAAAAATCCTTTTATTATTATTTAATGAATACTCTGCATACCAACCTCCTCAGACATGGTCAACGTAACGGAAGAATTGGGAGAACTAGAAATCCCAGATAGACCTCAGACTATTAATCCTATAAATATATCTAATGACCTGAAAATATCAGACTACAGACCGGATACTGATAATAAAGACATTCCAACAACGGCACAAGACTTACACGACATATGAAACATTATACAGCTCATCGTTAGGCCTCAATTAGCCTCTTTGTCAGTGACACTTCCATTTCACACCTAAGTATTCCGGTCAAACCAATAAAATGTACGGAGGAATTATACTATTGAAAATCCTTCATGGAGGGCAAGCCCTCATGGCTCCGTTAAACATGAACACATACTGTAAAGATTGAATTGCATGTAATTGTTAAGATATTACCCATAATTTGGCTTCTGTGTAAGCCCAACCGTTGATGCTTGTTTACTATATATGTTTGAGCAAAAATAAACATAAAAATAAAGAATATAAAAATAAAATAAAAAAAATACCACATTAACCCCACCCTTGACTGCCACATTCCATAAAATTTATATTGACAGAATTCCCTTCCACTCTATTACACAAGCCCGGGCAGTTCTTTTCCCAAACCAGATAGAGATGCAACACTGGTACAGTCATATTGGCCTATTATGGTTTTAAACCAGGATCTGAATAATCTGGCTGAGATTGTAGCCAACCGCCTTCAAACTTTCTTCCCAGGCATTGTGTCGCACCTACGTTCAGCATCTTCACAGTTTGCATGGAGGCACTGAAAGTTCTCCATAGAGATGCATTCTTTCAATGCATCTCTTTGAGGAGATGCTGATTGGCACAACGTGGAATTTTGCCATGTTGTGTAATAGCCTCTTAATTAGCCATCAAACCAGCCCTGGCGAGACAGGCACGGCGTGGGAAAAAAAGGTAAGTAAAAACATCATACCAATGTGATCAGCAGGCGGTCAACTAAACAGACACACTCACTGACAGACACACAGACATTTTGTCATACACTCACAAATTATTTTTTCATTTAGGCCCACCCAGCCTCCCTACCTTTGAGATAGCTGGTGTGGATCGTTTTCCCTGGGGTTCAGTGCAGCTGTGTGATCCTGTCAACTTCATGCTCTGCTCACTCATGTATATATTTTTGCACTTTATATAAGGAATCACAATTTTGCATGTTTTTTGCACAAGGAATTTTTTGTTAGCTTGCACTTTAATAAGAAGTTTTAATATCACTAATTGTGATGATTGATAATTATATCACTCTTTGTCTTAAAGACACAACGCAACCTTTTAAAAAGAATTTGTGTTACTTTAAAGGTAACTGAAGAGACATTGAATGTTGAAAGGTTGATATCCATTTAAAGAAACTCTACAATCAGGTGTACCCACGCTACCCCCATTTTAAGTATTTAGAATAATTTAGAGTTTTAGAATAATTTCAGTGCTTATTAAGGTTCCACCAGGTGTTGCTCCCTGTCTCTACTACTTGCAATGGAGAGCCCGCAGTGCAGGGCTATCTCATTGGCTGACAGTGTCAGCTGATGCCTCTCAACCGTTGCACTAAGCTCTATACCTCCAGATCTTCTGGTCTGGTGGCTGCTGTGGAGGCGAGAAGCTACAGGTCAAACCATTCTAAATAATTCACCACTGTAGGGGTTATGCTGCTTGACGTATTCCTTTAATGATGGTAAAAATAAACAAGCATAGCAGACAAATAGCTGACTGAAGGGCAAGATATTTGTTATAACTTGCAACTACACTAAAAGTTTCTACTTCTTTCTGTGTATTGTGCATTAATGAATGGCCTGCTGCTCACAGGCGTATTCAGTGCACCATGTATAAAACGTAACTTTAAGAAAATCCGCACTGACCCTGCAGCCCTCCAACGATTCTCTTGCCATACAGAACAGGTAGTTCAGGCTATCTCCAAGCTACTGCAGAAACTATGAAAGGGTACTGTCTCTAGGAACATGTTCTGTGGGACAACTTTTTCTGCCATCACCTCAGTGAATAAAAACCTTGTGTGCATGTTTAATGTCCTTATTTAGCATATGCAGCCCTATAGAAACCATTTGTAACTTCATTTTGTTTTAGGAGTTTTGTGGAGCATGGAGTGTTCAAGCATTATGATAAGACAACATAGACTGTTACTCCTCCTTAAAGGGACACTATAGGCACCCAGACCACTTCAGCTCATTGAGGTGGTCTGGGTGCTGTGTCCCTTTTGCACCTAGTTCTGCAATGTAAAATATTACAGTTCCAGAGAATTACAATGTTTACATTGCAGCACTAAGTCTGCCCTAAGTGATTGTCTACCAGACAGCCACTGGGGGGCGCTTCTGGAATCGTAACATACTTTTGGTCCTTTAACTGATGCTTGACGTCTTCACGCTCTGCATGAC